AAAAGGCCAATAATAAATTTCTAGGAAAACTGTACTGAACAAACTTATGTCCACTTTGATTGGAAATCATGGCCATAAGAAGCGAGGGTTATTCAGGGATTAGCTTTTCACAGAACAAAGTCTCATGTGTTTTAGTAGTGGGACATAGGATATTCCCAGAACACAGGAAAACTTCTCTCTTATAGCTTCCATTACCACTTTTTTTTTTTTTTTTTTTTGCTGAGAGAAAAATGCATAAAATATTAAAATCTGTCCTAGAGCCGTTTGGCTAAATGTATGGATATCTAGAGCCAAAAATACATTCATTGATTTTTAGAATCAGAATCTACTTATTTTCTTCTTAAACAGATGTCTCTGGTCACCTTGAAGCACAGGTGCCTGCTTCAGGCTGGATGCTTTCGGGACACTGGTCTTATTGCACAACAGAAATAGAGGCCTGGAGATCCCGAGAGCAGCCAGTTGGGATGGTTGCCGAGCCCCAGCGCCTCTTCTGGTGAGCTGACACTGGCAGGGGAGTTGAATTGGTTTCACAGTGCAGAATGCTGGATCCATAAAAGTATGCTTGGAGCCTTCCTGGCAGAGCAGGAAACTTCCCCACAGCTAAAGAGGTGTTTACAGCTAGACTCAATATTCCAGCTGCCAGTATCACAGACAGCCTATACAGCAATTTCACAATGAATAGGCTCTTATTGCCCCTACAAATGACTATGGCTCCTACATCTGGAGCAATATAATCATCAGCTACCTAGATGGTCACTGTCTTTGAATTGGTAGAATGGCTGCCTTTGTCCTGTATTCGTTGTCACATGGGACTTGGTCATTTCTTGAGTTGGTGCTTGTGTTTTTACTTTGTTTGCAAATGTGAATGTGTGTGATGGACTAAGCACTAAATGCATCTGCAAAGAGAAACCTTTTCCCAGAGAATTTCCTTTGGAATTTTATGTCACTAGAAATTACCAAAGTTACCATGTTCTAAAGCATCGTACTTCTGAAATGGTTAGTCGATTTGTTTGGCTGAGATTAACCAACCCCAGATAAAAGGCAAGGAAGGAGGCAGGAGCCAAGTAGCTGGGATTTAGTAGCTTGACTACAATTACACGTCTGGGGAGAAGCTCTTTGTGAAGAAGTAGAGGAGACAGAGGTAGAATCTGAAACCAGAGAACAGAACAACAGAATCTCACTGATGATGAGAAAGAGGAGGAGGAGCGGCGTTTAAATGTGAAGACGGAATGAGAGCAAATTGCTATAAGCACCGGCAGGGAGCCTCCCCTAGGATATAGTTTGGCCTTTGGGATGCAGTGGTGGTAATTAGAACCTGCAGAAGATGTTTCGGAGGCAGAAAGCACCTCCAGCACTGCCACAGTACTCAAAACCCCGGGTTAACACTGAACCTGCAGCCCAGAGAGAACCAGGATGATAAATAGATGACAGTTTTATAGAAATACAGTAGCGATGCTAGGGACACCACAGTTGCACCGTGACCAAAATGGTCTTCCCCTTCAGGATGCCATTTCAGAAATTCGTTCCTTTGAGTTTTTCAGGGTGTGATCCTTGATCTCCAGGTCACAAGAAGCTCTTCAGAAAACTGGAGAAGTATGGGGCCTACAAACCTGGAATTACGAAGCTGTCTCGGTAAACTGTGTGCATACTAATGTTTGAGAGGCCTGGACTCAAGTATCATCCCTTGTCAGATACAAAGTCTGTATTTGAGGAAAAATGAAATCTACACTGCCTTAAAAACAACCCACTCACTGAAACCCCAGCCTGTCTCTTGTCTGGTTTCAAACATAGAGCACCCCCGTAGATGGAAGTCAGACACCCGCACCAGAGGCGCCCACCTGATGCATTCTAGGAGGGATCGGGTCAGAAGAGTTAGGGACCACTTAGTTTCACCACTTCCCTTTGTGAGTCATTAAGCTCCCTGGATTTCTTTGTATTTATCTGTAAAATTGGAATAGTCACTGCCTTCTTTATATGGAACATGAAGTAGACCATGAAAATTACCTCCTAAAGTACTAAGTGCTAAATACATCAAACATTACCAGAAGACCAAAGCAAATCAGAATAGCAAGAAGACCCCAGGCTCAAATGAGGTCATCTGGGAATCCTGGCCTGGGGCTGCAGGGAGTGAGGCAGGGGTGAGGAAGAACAGATGGAGGAAAAAGCAATCAAGGCGTCTTCCAGTGACTATGAGCTGCTTTGGCCCGTGGCTGGGTGAGGCTAGATCAACTGGGGATGTGGCCCTTGGTGGGTATCCAGGATCTGGGCTGCCACTGGCCCATTATGCAGTCCAATCAAAATATATGATGAATGTTTCATTTTTTAAAATTTCATTACGGTAAAAGATATATTGCCATTAATCCCTCAAAATACTCCCCTCAAAGCACATTCATCCCATCATTTTTGCCACTCCTCAAAGCCGTTCTTTTTTGTGTCTTTATGAGGTGTGATGAAAAATACAGTAAACATTCCCTGAGTATTCTGATCACCCTGCTACACCATGGTGATATTTGCCTACACAAATAGGCACTCCTTCCTTAACACCTTGGGTTCCACCTCTCACTGTTCAAATATAAGTGCCTTGTTAAAATAAGGTATTTCCTGCCCTGTGTCTCAAAAACAAAAAAAAAAGTAACAAACATGAAAACCTACACTGCTAGCTACTACCCCAGGATTGTCAGTATACAACTTACACTTCGGTTCTGTCTTGACCTTCGACCCCGACCCTCACTCATCCCTGAACCCCACAGCAGGAGTATTTCTTATGTCCACATTAAAAAATATCAAAGCAGAGTCATTTTTAAGCTTTTAGTATCAAATTTGGACATTTTTGTTTCTGTGCTTCAAGCTAGGCTCATCCTAAATTAGGAAGCATCGTTGAATATCATTGACTTCCAGGAGAAATTTCACATCTTCACTCATTTCAGGCAGGTAGGAAGCCAACATAGATAGATAGATGGACAGACAGACAGACAGACAGACAGATAGATAGAAAGAAATATTTGTGCATCGTTCTGTTAAAAATTAAGCAGCAATTTAGACCAAACCAGTTAAACTTTATTTCAGAAAGGTCCATTTCTCTAACCAAGTATTACAGACTAAAAGCTGAATTTAAAGAAGGAAAGAAGTTTTTAGCAAGGTCAAATCTAGTTGTTTTTTCCCCTCACACAGTCCTTTGTTTCTATTTCTTCTTGGATAATTGCCACCCTGTGATAATCACTAATAATAGTTACCTTTTAGAGCATTCCTGGCCTGCCACTCGGCTGAGCATTCCAGTATTGTCCTCTGTAACGCTTTCAACCCCCTCTTTAGATGAATATTGTTCGCTCATTTTACAGAGGAGAAAGCTGAGGCTTGACAAAGCAGTGTAATTTTGCCTGAAGTAAACAGACAGTAGGTTGAGGAGTCAGGGTTCCGATCCATCCACTTTCTCAGAACCCGGAGCTGCCTGCTTGTTACAGGTGTGTCGGTCTGCACTGATGCTGGGTAAAATGACAACTAGGGAGGTGTAATGAGTCTTTTAGGCTGTTTCTACACTGTGGCATACCGTGTTTCTAAGTTTTAAGGGCTTAATGTACCACTGGAGCCCAAATCATGGCTGGTCTTTATCTGTGTATCAAAGTGTGTCACTCAGCATCCTGAACACTGTGTGTCCTTGGAGTAGGGCAAATGTGGCACCATAACTTGGGTAGTAACAGCCCTTAGCTTCACTTCTGCCTGTGAATGAGAGTCAAGTGGTACTAACAAAATATGCAAATTTAAAAAATTTTTTTTATTTAATTTATTGGTACATTCTAGGTAGATAGTACAGTTACATTCATTACTGGGATCGTGTACCTTTACATGCCAGGTCTTGGTTCTCATTTTTTCCCCTTGTCCCCACCCTCCCTTCACCCTCCCCTCTCCCCATTCAAACACTTTAATTCTATTTTTACATTTTCTCATATATTTTTCCTTTTCCCTTATTCCCCCATCCCTATCCTTCTCACTGTCCCTACACCTTTGGTCCTTTTCTTCCTATTTGCTAAGTGTCCCGTTAGGATCTTGAGTACTATTTTAGTTTTTCACACCAGAGATACTATTCGGTATTTGCATATGTGTGCCTTATTTATTTCACTTAGAAGTATATCCTCAAAATGTACCCATTTAACTATGAATGAATCTACTTTCTCATTCTTTATGGCTGAGTAGTATTCCATTTTACAGAAAAACCACATCTTCTTTATCCAGTTTCCCATTGATGGGCAAATGGGCTGTTTCCAAGTTTTAGCTATTACAAACTGTGCCGCTATAAAACATGGGTGCACATACATCACTGTGGTATGATTCTTTCACTTCTTTTGGAAATTAAAAACGTTTTGAGGCTAAAATAGTCCACTTCTTTTTGTAAAATAACTGAGTAAAATTTACTGTACAGGGTTCAGTCATTTATTTTAAAACTCTGGCTCTTTTCACCTGTCACTAATGCTGAATTTTCTACACCGCTCCCCTTGTTGGCTAGAAGAATTAACTTCTTCAATTAGCCTATGTCAAAAGGATTTGGAAATAATGTAACATTTTGTTTTCTCTTTATTTCATATAACAGTAACTGTTCTCTTACGAGTCTGTAAAAATGAAATCAGGAAAGTACTGTGAGATATTAAATTAACAATGGTCACTGCTCAGTCAATGAGATGAAGAAGTGAAAGCCCTAGCATTTCAGGCTTTGCTTTTTTGGTTTGTTTGTATTGTTTCTGTATGACAATGAATGTCAGGCTCTGAAATCCCAAGGATTTAAAGACAAAGGACAGGGCCAAATCCTCTGACATCACAGATGCTTCCTGTAGTCACAATGCTGCTGAGCTACCCTCAGGAAGATGCTGCAGAAAAATTAACTCTTTGGTTAGGATGCAGGCAGGATTCCTTAGTACTTTGGCTTTCTAAGAAGAAAGAAAGAGAGAGAGAGAGAGAGAGAGAGAGAGAGAGAGAGAGAGAGAGAGAGAGAGAGAGAGAAATCCACCACCATTCCTTTTCAAAAAATGAAAATAAAATCAACCAAAAACATAAAGCTGGAAAATCAAGCCTCATGAGTTCAGGTATTTATTTCATAGACTACTCTTTAGTAGCAAATTTATATTTCTCATACTTCCCTACCTTACTTGTATTTCTTACTACTGTACATATAAACAAATTAACAAATCCCAGAGAAAGCCCTCAGATAGCCTGGACTCACTATGGCAGGATTTCACTCTAGGAGTGCTTGATCTCCACAAAGTTCCTGTCTTTGGGGTACTTGTGAGGATATAGCCTGCTAGCTGACCACGGGTGTAACGGGCCACAAGGGAGAATCCTGTGGTAAAACAAGCCAGAAGGGTCCCTTAAGCCTCGCCCTGTGTTCAGAAACTACCCTCAGTAGGAAAGGAAATGCCACCAAAGCAAAATTTCATTTACCATAGTTCCTGATCTGAGCCTGCATTCTGGTTGCCTAGATACAGATGTAAACAAAAGTGCCTCTCCGCCTGCTGGAGCACAGCCTGAGGAACCTGATGGCCCCCTTCCTGGCACAGCTGGTGACCAAGAAAAGAAAGCAAGTACTTTTCGATATTCATATGAAAAGTAGAATACAAACTTTTGCTCAGCTTTCTTAGAGAGCTTTAGAGTCCTGAAAGAATGATTGTTCTTTTCAGGATTCCCATGTTTCCTGTTTATTCTGCCCTGACAAAGCACCTAGCGACAGCACAGACTGAAAGGATAAAGGATCTCAGTTTGTAAATACATTCATTGGACTGATATTAGGTTATGGGACTAAATGTTTTTAATTTGAGAGTGATTTTTTTTTACAAAGATTCAAAAGGAACGATACACTTAAGGTGTAGATTTTAACCAGAAAAAGTATAGTCTAACAGAATGTTGGCTTTATTAGTCCTTGTCATATTTTCTCCGTTAATTAAAAAGAACGTTCGAGCAAGTGGTGTTTTTAATCTTTGGTAATTCTCATCACACCTGATCGATGGTTTGGGGCTACGGAAAGACCACCAGAAAGCTACAGGATACTGTGGAGTGTACCTGGTGGCATCTGTGGGACTTCAGGTGATTGCTTGACCCCTGTTTTTTCTTTTACGAAATGGGTTAATTAGGCCTATCACACAATCACTGTGGGGTTGGAGTGAACCACTCCCATTAAGGGCTTAGCAGGCAGGAAGGGCTCAATGAATAACCATCAATGGCTATTACCTTTTCCTGAACTCCAGCAAGTCTACTGCTTCTTTGATTCTCAACTTCTTCGCCTCTAAAAATAATCATCTTCAATTATTTCAGAAATAAGAATTTCAGTTAGTCAAAGTAACTAATGTCATTCCTAATGTAAAAATAATGACACCAATCTTCCAGGGCTCTTGAAAGAATGAAATCATATTATCTTCAAGAAAGGACTTCATAGTATAAAGCCATAAGAATATAGCATTTTGAAGTCTTTTGGGCCTGGGGATGTGGATCGTGGCAGAGTGTTTGCCTAGCATGTGTGATACCCCAAGTTTAATCCCCAGGCCCATAAACTATTAAAGGGCCTAAAAAAGTAAAGTACTCTTATGGAAGGGTCGATACTGCTATGTGTAAAATTCCATATAACTACCAAGTAGTTTTACTGTGAAACAACCTTTATACATAATCACATCCTATCCCGTGAGAGTGGGAGGAAAAGGCACTAACTTTTGTATTCAGCTGACACATGTTTAAAAATTTAAATACTGTCTTAGACACATAAAAATGAATTTAAAAGGAAAAACTAATTACACCACAATGGTAATGAGTTTGCTCAAAGTAGTACAATCATGAATGAGTTATTTTTTTCCTGTAATCTTAATTCTCTATACTTTTTCACATTTTTCTCCATCATCATGTTTAACGTTTGTCACATTAAAAGTGTGGGTATTGGGTATGTATTTTTAGATGATGATATTTGTGGCCTTCCAAATAGGACTTCCAAATACACATTAATAAAATCAGAAAAACATACGTATATGTATATATGTATATGTAACACACCAGGAGAATCACCTAGTGATTCATTGTTCTTGGCCATGATCCATCACACAATTTCATTCCAAAATATAGAGCACAACTGAGATCCAAACCTACTCTGGTTGCTGGGTCAGGAGAGCATGATTACCGATAGGTGACCTTTATGTACTTTCGTGATAGTGGGTTACCTACTTAAGGTGTTTGTTTTTGAGAAGGAAGGATTCCAATTAAGTTGCTTGGCCTTAAATTAAGAAATGGTAATTCAGTTGGACTTGCTGGTGCACGTCTATAACCCCAGTCCTCAGGAGGCTGAGGTAGCAGGATTGCTGTGAATCCGAAGCTAGACTGGTCTACATAGTGAGTTCAAAGCCAACCTGAGGCCTTGTCTCACAAAAACAAAGAAAGAAATGATAATTCCACTGACATTTGCAAAAGGACTGATTTCTCTATGGAGGCTCTAAACATATTCTGCGCATCATAACAACATATATTAACAAATAAAAAATACACTAGGAATATATTTTAGTTTTTTTTTTTTTAAACTGGGATGAAATATCACTCACATTGTTCCTATGAATTGGTTCAGGGGTAGTCTCTTAAAATAAGGATAAATATGTCATCTATTTTTAAATTTAAAAAAATAAAAGACCATTGGATTTTTAGGCATTTTCAGCATACGCAAAAGTGAATATATTTGCTTTTCTCTTTCCTCACAGAGATTTTGTCAAATTTTAAACCTGCCACAAATAGAACATTCTAAAAGTATCATTTCATTGGATTGGAGATTGTCAGCTAACTTCATATACATGATATATATATATACCTTGCTTTTATGTGTTTCTCTTTGACTATAACACTCTGACATCCAAGCTTTTTAGAAAATAAAAAGTAAGGATAGATTAGCTTTCCACTTTTAGATTTATTGAAAGTTAGCTGATTCCCCTAAGAAATCAGCATGTCAGGAACAATTCACTCTATGAGGACTTCTTCTGTAATTCAGTCAATAATCACTCAATATTTCCTTTAGGAATTATCCAGGAATAATCTATGGCTTTTACTTTTCCAAAAAGTTCTTTCTGTGATACTAAAAGTATGGAGTGCAACTCTCTAATCTCTCTCCAGGACTTCACTTTGGTTTTAGTCACTAACAGTACAAAGGGAGCATGTACAAGATTAAATGGGCTGGTGATCTATGTATCGTACACATTTTGCTTCAAATCAAAACATTTATTTAAGGATAGAAAGGATAGGAGTAGCCATAAAGCAGCAAATGAGAGATATATTTTAAATCTGTGACCTTTGTTTTAGGTAAGATTATCTCCAGCCAAAATGTCAACCAAGAACTCTACAGATCTAGTTGAATATGTTGACAAGTAAGTTTATAAATTACTACTTTTAAGTACTTACTGCACTCATGGATTGGGTCAGAGATTAAACTACCTGAATTTATCTACCTTTGAATTTATCTTAACTAGTTCTTTGCTTTCAGAAAACCCTCAATCATCTCTCAGAAAAATGAAAGTGTCCATCCAATTCCTTTCTATCAAAGCAAATAAGATTTTTACTCCTTCCTCTTTAAATGACTTTTATACACATATGTACATTTATATATAAAACAACACAGGCAGAGTTGTAACATAGGATTAGGTGACAAATGGTGATATCAAATACAGATTACCTTGACTTTCAAAATAAACCGAATGCATTTGTTAACATTTCATGATAAATACTAGGAAATTTTGATATATTTTAAATCAATCATGGAAAATTCTGTTCCTTACACTTACAGTGCCACCTGGGGCTCATCCAGGGAGGAAGTTAAATGAAGTAGATCATTCTGACTTGCATATTTGTTCATCAGTTACAATGAGCAGATGTCCACTGATTTTATGATATTGCATCCAATGCCTATTTAAGCTTAATTGAGCAGAAAAACACCAAAGCCTGGTTTCTTGGAGTTTTTTTGGGGGGTGTTTTTTGTTTTGTTTTATCCTGCTGGTGGAAAGAGTTTCAGTGGAAATACGGACACCTCAGATCTATTCTTGAACCTGCCTCCAATCAACTACTCAACTTTGAAACTTCCTCCTCTATAAAATACAGTGGGAGTTCCAAGTAATCAGTGATGAATACTTGCTACTTCCCAGCTCTCGCTGAAATTTCTCATCATCATTCTTCTATATAATTAAGTAGGTGGTTAAGATTTTAGAACTTCATTCTCTCCTGGGATTTAATTTTGAATGAAAAAAATTCTGCTCATAAATCTCTTTGTATTTTTCTCTAATTGACTCTTTGGGAATTTTTTTTTTCTTACCATGGAATCAAATATTTTTCAAGGTTCTTTCTATCCCTGATATTGAAAATCTGGTTATTATCACATATTCACTTAACACATGCTTATTTGCATAAAATGCCCCTACTAAACACCAGGTACTGTGCTAGAAACCTGGAGAGTTACCAGTGAACAAATAAATAGGACAAAGACCCTTGCCTTTCTGAGCTTCCATTCTAGCAAGAGGAAGATGCACAGTGGGTATGTAGCCTGGTCAGGGTGAGCCTCCTCCAGAAGTTGGCATTTGAGCCAAGATAAGATGGGAGGTTTTGGGCAGACAAACACCTTGGAGAAGAGCAAAGTTTCTAAGGCAGGACTGGAAACAGGGCAAGAATAGCTAGGTAAGAAGATGGAAATATAAAGTTGATAGTATCTAAGATTCAATTTGAAATTCAATGAGTGGAATAAGTGCTGAATTTCTCCTGTCCACGGGGAAACTTCTGAATTTTCTAAACAAAAAGGGGGCCAGGAAATGAAATTGTTTTGTACTAAGCAGTTGTCCAGGGTGGGCTAGCCATTCTCAGTAATTCTCCCAGGAGCACATTTTTGGAAGATGAGGGTCTGGCTGACAGCCAAAGAACAGTATTTAAAATTTGGACTCATACAACTTTGAGTAAAGGAAATGGGCAAAATAACAATAATTTCTCCTTGTGAGCAGAATATGGCATTCAGGGTGTGAAAGTATTCAGTTTCAATGTTTTTCTTAGGGCCACAGCAGACACTTTATTATGTCATAATGTATTGCTTTTGTTACTGCCTGGTGGAGACGGATATTTCACACTACAATGTGTAAGAAAGGGAGACAAACACTGCCATGAGGCTTTCTGTGGGTAGGTCACGCTACAGTGAATGGTGCTGTCATCAGCCACAGCACCACCTCTGATTCTCTCTCCTCTTGGATTCTCCCACTATGAGTGGGCCTAGCCACGGGAACTAGATGTTACCCCAAGACCCACCAGGATCAGGGCGGCCCAGAAGAGGCCCCATCTCTCTTGTCCCGGGAGGCTCTCAATTCGTGTTAGAGCTAAGCGCTTCAGTCTCAGTCCAGTAGAAGGAGCCCCTCCGACCTCAGGGCCTTGGTGAGGACAGATGTGAGCTGAGCAGGGAAAGAATTACAGGAGGTTGGGGGCAAGCTACATGTGGAGAAGCAGAGGAGTAAGCATGCCCTGCCTCTCTTAGAAGAGGGCACCTCTACCAGGAAAAGTCACTAATTAATCTGAACAAACAGGGTAGGAGGAAGAGAAGAAGCTTTTAGATAATATTTCCTGGGCTGAGGATGTAGCTCAGTGGCACCATGCCTGCCTAGCAAGTGCAAGGTCTTGAGTTCCATCCCCAGTACTACAATAATGAATGAATGAATAGTAAATTAATTAATTAAATAAAAATTTAAAAAATAAAAATGTTTTCTGCCTGAGCTACTGATGCCCTCTAGGTTCCTCCTAGAGAGAAAATTTACTTATGCTATGGGGGTAGTTGCAGGAATGAAATGACATGTTTTTGAAAGTAATACAGCACTATATAGTGTACAGTATAGTAGTCTAAGCACTATATAGGAATTAGATAATTTTATGAAAAAAAAACAAATTTCATAACAAATAATAACAATAGTTAATACTGTATATGATAATCTCAGAAGTAGTTACTCAGAGTAGAAGTCATACACAAAAGACTCTCTTACAAGGAGGAATCAGATAATAGTACAAAACTTTCTGTTCGGTGAACTAAGAGGAACTAGGATCATAATTGAAACAAATGAGCATATATATTAAAATGTTTTTGAAACAGTGGAGTATGTAATGTAGGGAATTATTTGACCTCCCTACTTTCTACTTATCTATCTTCTATGGATGCAATTTGAGAACATAATGTTAAGTGAAATAAGTCAGATGCACAAGCTTAAATATCATAAGGTTTCTCTTATATGAGAAACTCAAAAATATATACAAATACAGATCAAAATAGAAGAAATAAGCTATTACTATTAAAAATCCCTTACATTTCTCTTAACTCAAATAACTCAGCATCGGTATTAATTTCCCAGGCTTCCATACCACAGTGCCACACAGTGCATGGCTTAAAACCATAGAGATTCATTTTCTCAGTTCTGGAGATGTCAGCGGGACTTACTATGCATCGCTCCGGTCTATCCCTCCACCTCTTCATTCTCCTGGTGCCTCTGTCTTCCTATGAGTAGCTCAGTCCTAGTGGATACAGGGCCTGCCCTATTCCTGTAGGACTAATTACATCTGCAATGATCCTATTTCAAAGAAGATCCAGTTATGAGACATTGGATGTTAACATATCTTTTGGCAGGGGACACCATTCAGCCCAACTTTTTGGTGCCATCTAAAAAGTAGTAATGTTCCTGCTCTTTATATTTTGGGTTTCTCATATATGAAAAACCATGCTATACTTAAGTTTGTTTCACTCAATGTCGTGGTGACATGGTGCATTCATTTCCCTACAGATGACTCAAGTTTATCCTTCTTTATGGCAGAATAGTATTCCATGCATATAACTACTATGCATTGCAAACATGTACTAATAAAAAATAAAAACTGAAGAAAAAAATCGAAAAACAAAAATGACCAACAATGTAAGAATATGGGTGTACAACATTTAACATTCCAAAACACTTCAAACGTATTACTTGACTACCCTCAGCCATATTAGGGCAGGAGTCTCTCCACAAGATAAAGAAGTCCTCTTCTGGATAACCCAACAGAGGTTAAAGGCAGTGACATGACTTAAGCCTAGGTCATCTGATGATAAGCACAGTATTCTTTACCCTGGAGACATAAAAACACACGCCTTCCCTGCCCCCCAAGAAACAGCCTGCAAGGGAGTATGGGAAAGTATCTCAGGAGGGCTACCTCACACCATAGGAACCTCAAAAGGTACCAAAGCAAGGTGTCCACTGCCAGCATTCACGATGACCTTTGCACCAGGTGCAGCCTTTGTGCTGTGATTTTACTAATTTAACTGCTGGGAGGAGTTTGCCTGAGGGAAAGCAGAACTCTCCACAGAAAACATCCACACACGCTGTCTCTCCTCCAGTTCTGGGCTGTGCCCCGTCTGGGAGTCATCTCTTTTCCAGGCCCGCCCTCGTGCAGGCTCTGAGCTGGCCCAACCCCCTGGCCTTGGTCCCTTTGCTGGACTCCTCCCCCAAACTTCAGTTGCCTCCCTCAAGCTCAGACCGCTCACCCTGACAGTAGTCCTGACAGCGCAGGCTTCTGGAGCTACCAAACCCATCTTCCGTGCTGGGTAGAAGCAAGAAATGGAAAAATGACAGGAAATATTTTTTTTTCCATTTTATCTTTCTCCACATTCAGAATGTAACTAGTCATTAAGAGACACAAAGATGCAGAAATTTTTCTTGTTGTGCCCTCTGGCATTTTAGAGAAAAAGTTTAAATATCCAAATCTCTGTCTCCAGAGTATTATAGGTTGCCATAATGGTTATCAGAATCTCCTCGGGAAATTTAGCGCTCTCCCCACAAGGACAGAACAGGCAGGGAAGCGAGAGGCAGCCGTACAGATGCCTCTGCCAGCCACAGCACAGCTGCTGCCAGTAGCTCCTAGCTGCCGGGAAATGGAACTCAGAGTTCGTGAGAAATCTGTTCAGATTCCGTTGTGGGCTCCACAATCAGTGATCTGTGTGAAGCCCAGATCTCTCTCTCTGAAAAGGTCCCACAGGGTCCTTTCTCCCGAGGTTAGTAACTCCACCGAGACTGGTCTGGGATCTTAGCTATTTCTTCCTTTGCACGGTTACATTTAGAGAGAGATCACCCGTAATATAACGTGCTGACAAAGCACATCGCATCTGTGGGTGAGTGGTTTCTGTGTTTATAGAATCACGATGACCACATCTCCCTCCCTGTGAGAGGCCTCAGGTTACAGCCTGTTGGATAACAGGTGAGTTAGTAATAGTACATCAGAGATCTCTCTTAGAAGATTAGGAATGTTTGCATGTTTGTTCTTCTACTTGTTGCCTTAGGAAGGCCGATTGGAAAACAACATGTTCTTGCCTTAAAGCAACAGAAAT